GCTGACGTATTTAGTCGCCATTAATGGCCGACCTGAATGTTTACCTGCTTCGCGGCAGAGAAACTGCGTGGTTTCTTGAACCTATGGGTTTATTTTATCAAGATTCAAGTGGTAAATAAAAACGCCTGAACCGGTACTTTTCGTGCGACGGGGTCATGAGCTAGAACGGCTGCGGTGCTTACTGTCTAGGGTGAGTTTCTCGGCTTGGCGCTTTAGTGTGTCTATTTGCAATGATAAGACGCCTACTGCCTATGGCTAGCTATTCGCGGAGGCTCCAACGGGGGTAAACCGTGCTTATCCTCGGTTCCTTCGTTAGCTGATGACGTTTGGTGACTGTTTCTTAGTTTTGCAACTGCTGTGTGTATTAGGGTGCTTGCTACTACCAGGATGGTCTGTGGTCTTTGCTGGAATCGTTGCATCCTTAATTCGCGGAGAACACTCGCGTCCATGCTGGAAGTACCTAGTAGCTTTTACATGTCGCAACAAGTGTAAGCATCCTGTCCCCTAGTTACAGCTCTATAAACTGTTGCTGCAGTCGGACCTTGCCAGAGAACGTGATTCGCTGAATAATCGCCTGCTTTAAAACTTCATATCTAGCCTCGGGAGGGGGCAAGTTGTGATGTCTCTCACCAGGGCGGCTACACTTTTCGGAAGCCGAAATATAAGTTGGAGATATTTAGCACAATCAGACGAGCTTCCACAATTGTAAAAAGTAGATTTTAAGTGTGCAAACCATAATAACGGGTCATTCTCCCAAAACGGTGGGGAGGCTGAAGCAACGGCACTAAGTACGTACGTGGATGGTGCATCCTTTAAAAATTCCTTGTGAGAAATAAATAAGAATATACAGCAGGTGAGAAGACAAAATGATAGCAAGTAGTGAATCAAAAAGTGGCTGGAACGAGCTTACCAGAATGAAAATTCCAGATGGTAGGCGATGTTGTCTGGGCCGACGTCACCAGTTGTTGGGTGGCGCCTGGGTTACTAGTCAACAACAATGAAACGTAAAAGAGGTGTTACATACGAGACAGTAGAAAGGATGGAAGCAACTGGATCCGACGTACATTGTAAAGGCTACAGGGAATTGGAGTTGAACCAGTGGAACGATGGAGTAATGGTTTACGACGGGTCTAAAAGTGAATGCTTGACATGTCCAGTCAGACGGTGAGGGTAAAAATCGTAAAAACATAAATCCGTGCCAGTAAAAGGACATGTGAACTACGTGACTCACCAAGGGGTATGGAATAGCACATAAGCGAATATTCCTGACTGGCTTATAGGGGGTTATAATGCCGTCCACTGTTTGTTGTGCGTTAATGCCAACATCTGTTGTTCACTAGCTACATCACCTAGTGAAAATGTGTCAGCGTATCATCAAGGTGTTTTTTGAAAAAGTGATAAAGTAGGAGCATTAATTACATTTCCCGGGAGGGCGTTCCACGGCTGACACTCGGAGGGTGCAAAAGTTTCGTTGACATTCCACTCGGCTGTACTGCGTGATCATCTTAAACGGATGACCCCTTAGTGATGTAAGGCGTGTGTGGTTGGGGTTTCTCAGGATCTGGTACACTATTACGAGATCGCCCCTTATCCGCCGATAGCGTCCGCTGTATGTTTTATGGGTTTTCACCCTGAGTGGGTAAGGTAGGCAGGGCAAATCTCTGACGTCCTTTGTCACCCTGCATTTTGCAGTATCGAGCGAGGTGAGGTGGTACTTCTGCCAGGATTGCCAGGCTTAAATAGCGTATTCCGTGTGCGGCCTCACGTACACGCCAAGCATTTTCGGAAAGATTGTAACTTAAAACTTCCCGGACTCTCTAAGAAGAAGGCGGAAGTGTTGGTTTGCTTTTTTGAGATCTTTTCAGTCTGCCTTAAACACCTAAGGTCCACTTGCACAAGCACGCCGAGATTGCACTCATGTGAAGCACACTGTAGAATTGTGTTTTAAGCGGTAGTTGTGAGTACTCGGCGTATGCTCAGAATTTTGCATTTGTGGTTTTGAAATGCAACACCTTCTCGATGAACCATGTGTACGCTTTGGCCAGGTCATCCTTTATGGTTTTGTGAGCATTCACTGGGGTGATAGCACGCCATATATTTAGATCGTCTTCAAACCGCAGACAGTTTGAAGACAGCACGCATGCAAGGTCATTTATGGAAACCAGAAACAGGCGGGATCCGAGTATCGAGCCCTGAGGTACGCCGCACTGAACTTCGATTAGTTCCGACAGGGTGCTCCGAACACTCACATTCAGATGACGATGAACGAGAAAGTCCCATATCCATTTTAGAATGATGGCGCCTATACAAAAATGCTGGAGTTTGTGCAATAGAATGCGATGGTTCACCAAAGGCAAGGAACGGTTTAGCAAGGGACTCACAAGAGCAGTTTGTGCAATCGGATGTACAGTAAGTAGAACAACTGGACGTTGGCAAGGCTCAAACAACAGTAAAATTCAATGTTGTAACATACTGAAACTGTGTTTCTCAGGTGAAGTGCAGTCTGTACCACATCTCTGATTAAATCCTCGCCGAAGTTTAACGCAAGTTATGAGATTGTAGAACACAGATGCTTAGAAGCAACTGCTTTTGACGCTTCAAACAAGTTCGGGTGTGGTTCCTAAATATCAGGAACAGTAAAGTCATTTTTCGGTTTACGGCCGGCTTGCAAATTTTCTCACAACAAAATGCTCTTATACAATCATGGTAACAGCATTCGAAAAGTTAAGCATAGATCCCATAAGTTAACACCCCAGTCGGAGTGACATATAGCGCTGAAGAAGCAGCTACGGCGCTTAGAATTCAGCTGCTATGACCCATGCATCGCACCATTCACCAGCGGACCAATCTAGTTTTCACTAACAGTTTTCTCAAGGATATTTGCTGAAACTGGTTTATACGGTCGCGCATATTAACGAAGGAGACGTTCAACATGTCCACTGTCATTCCACGCGCAGTGAAGAAACGGCTTGATGCAGCTGGCTAGCCTGTTTCCTGTGTTTCGGTCGTGATCGCGCGACATTTCCTTAAAAGGATATCTTACGGTTGCTCAAGTGAATCCAGCCTGCTTTTGAAAAAAACCTTTGTTTGAAACAGACTTAGAGTAAGAAATACAACGGGTTCAGACTTGGTGACCGTGCGCCCAATCCAATGGTCCTCCGAGCCCGATTCAACAATGTTCGAATTCCGGGCTGTGATGTACACGAACCGGTTGGGCATAATGTGCAGTTACATCATCCTGTTGACACCAAATGGTACTGAATATCCGGTCATTCTCTAACTGTAAGTACGCAGGTCTGGAGTATCTCCTTGTTTAACGAGGTTACAGAAAGTAAGGGATTGGTACAAAAAACAAAAAGTTGTTGATCACCTTCCCGGAGAAGTAAAACGGTCCACAGACTTTTCGACCACTTATTCCTGCTCAAACCATGAGCTTTGTATTATGTTTAATACGAGAACTCTGTATCGGTGTAGATTAACTCTAGCCCCTCAAATATTGTTTTTCTGTTTATGCAAATAGAAAGTTTCCTCATCAATGAAAACCAAGAAATGAATGCTTATCTAATCCCAAAACTAGTGGCAAATTTTATTCTGTTCATCCGGGTCGTTGGGATTCAAAACCTGAACCCGCAGCGCCACAAATCGACGGAAATTTCTGTTGGGACGATGTGGATTAGACCTATAATTTTATATCAATCCTTAGTTGGTTGCATTCGTTTTGTTACTGTTTACTTCGCGACACTAGTTTATACCCATCACTCCTTTGCTTTGATACGCCGGTCCACTTCGTTCATAATGGATATTACCTCAGGGGTCTATTGGCGCTAATGTCGCTTCCTCGAACTTGTCTGATTTGTTCTTACGTTTGCCAATTCTTGTTCACCTGCATTATTCAGGGTCTCTTGTGTTGATGGTTAGCTCCAACGTGTTTTAGTAGCCCGGCTACAACTACTGCTGTACTCTAGTTAAATGAATAGATTACTAGTGTAAAAATATCTTGGTCCTGACACATCTTGGGGTTTTTTCGGCGGTCATGGGTGTGCGAACACTCGCCTGACAACATAACAGTTTTTTTTCCCTTAAAATCCTGTGAACAGCGTATCGGATGATGTGACAATAGTAGGCCATTCTATGTACGCCGTGATCCTCCCTTTTGGGTACTTTACGGATAACAGCGCAAACTGAAAGTCTTCTGTGGTGAGGCGAGGCCCCCGGTTTTCTTACGTTGCACAAACTTCAAGTTTTATCGAACTTTTTCATCAGTTTAAGCAGCAACAGTCGTTGACGGGCCGAATTCCAGTGTTGACAGGGTTGTATGGGGACGCAGTTGCCGAAGCGTTTGACCCGCCATCACCATACAGCCGAAGAGTAAGCAGGTGCTGAGCAGCAACCGCGTAACGTAATTCAGCTTGGAGAGATGTCAACGGTGGGTGCTGGTGCCTCATTGCCTGACTGTTGCGGGACTGCGCTACATGTTATATGCCCACACACCAAAGGGTAGAACGAAATCCATGGTTCCGCACGCGATTGTGTGCGCCCCAAATGCAGACGCATGCATGCGCACATCTACGGTCTAACAAAAAATGCCGGATGGATGACTGGAACTAAGTAGAAAAGCTTAGGTTCGTATATACGCATAAAGTGCGGCATCGGAAGGCATGAGTCATGGGTGCATTACGGGGATCGGTCCGAAGATATCGGGCGCATTGTACTGGCCCTCACTCACAACGCAGATACAGAAGCATTAGTGTCCCATCCACGAGACATCTGAGATTAAGTCATCCTTACTGAACCTTTAACAGTTAAGTGCCGGATGAGTGGATCAATAATGCGAGTAATGGATGCAGTGAATATTAGTGAGGTTTCAGACGACACTTCGTAATGCCAGATTAGCACTGGTTTCTTTTTGATAAACTACTTATTGCGTCGTGAATTAAACGTGCGATTACTGATAATACTGTATATCAGCCATACTAATGCCGGTTTTCCTATTTTCACAGGATCCACCGGATTGGGGTAAGTTGAGCTCAAGACACTTAGAGTGCATGCTCCTTGACATTTGCTTCGTGTCTTTTATATATAGGAATCTACTCCTCATTTTTTCAATCCACCGGTACTTCGGTGTCTATGTCCAACCCTTACACTACATATTCAAAACCGTCAGACCGCTGTTAACGTTCGTTTCACGCAGCCGTTTGTCTGAAACCACTACAGACGGATGCAACTTAAAAGTGTGTGTCCCCGAAGAGGCTATTTAAGCTCATACTCGCTACACGCTCACCTAATCTTTCGAGCCTTTGGCACTGCGTTCTACCCGGTCAAAAATTTTAGTAATTTTTTATCCATCATTGATGTTACGTGAGCGAGTTGCCTTGTTTTCAGTAGGTGATACCGCTCCAATCGCAAAAGCTAACCTTTGGACTATGTAGACCAAGGAGGTGAGAGTAGAGGTCAAGGTGTAATGGTATGTGAATCTTCGTCAACAGAAGCGGATGAAGCGTCGGTGGGAACAACACCGATCAGACATCACTACTCGGCGATGCAATCAATTAACCACGATCGCATATAGTTGGATCGATAACATGCAGGTGGCCAAGATTGACAATGGCAATGCTTCACTGAACCTCAGGCGAATTGCTAAGATCCCTGGGCCAATAGTTAGCACTAATATAGCATTTGATGTTCGAACTGGGAAATGGTTTAAGTATGACCTTCTGAGCGTGAGAAGAAGTAAGAATTCTTTCATGGAGAATCAATACTTGCATGCGTTACTAATTCCTTTTACTACCTCGCTCCCAAAAGACGGAGTATGTGATCAGGTATGTGCTTGAATCAGTGATCAGAATTGCAAGCTTCGAAGAAGGTTGCGAGTTACTGAACTGCTTTACCATGAGCAATGTCAGCGTTTGCAATTAAAAACGAAAGAAAGCTAGTTTTCCTAGACACCTATCTAAGAAAACGAGAAGCTAATTCACTTCACGGAGGCATCTATCTAGAGTCTAATAATGTAGGTTAATCAGCGGCGTACCAATTACTACAGAATAACAGTAGAATCTTCGACTCAGATTGTCTGGATATTATTCGCCTTATACTTGGTATCGAATAATTGACGGTACTAAAAATGTCGCCTCTGTCACATGCTGCCCGGTGCCGATCGCCCTCTCAATCCCCTATGCTACGCCTCTAAAGTTACTACAACTGTTTTCGCAACTTTTCGCCTTTGATGTCCAAACAAAACTCAGCCCGTTGCCTACTATCTTGCCAAAAATGTTGCAGTTCAGAAACGGTAGAAAGTGGAACGGACGGCGTCCTTAAGACACCACAAGGTAACAGACCCTGTTCCTTATATTCGGATGCAATCTGTGATCCGCGATCGTCGAGAAACAGCCGTGACGGGGCCGGAAAGGAATGTCAATCTTGCAGTCCCTTTCGAAGGAAATGTCCCCTTCTATTTAGTGAACAGGGGACACGAATGCAATAGCGAAGCCGTCCTGCTATCTACCCGTATGTGGTTGCAGAATCCTGTTTATTATCTAGCCCGGTCCAGTTCGAATCCTCTAGCCCATAGTAATTTATTCACACCTGTTGTGTAAGTTATCTCGGACACAGGACCAGCCGCAAGGTGTAGTGGATTGCAAAACATCGCCCAAAAGCATTGTGAAGTGAACAGTTGGAAGCATCGATAACTCATTTTTGGAACACATTGCCAAAGCGGGCATCAAGTTGTGATCACGGATACAATCTAATTTTGCTACGTCGTACCTAAATGCTACGCAAAAAGACTCAAAAACGCCTACTAGTGACGGCTGAGGCCATGGCAACCAGATTAATGCAGCCTCAACTATACAGCCCGAGGACGCTAATGCAAGCATTTCGCTTGCCACTGCTGTACTCTCATTGTGATCACCGTTCATCTTAAGCCTAGCCGACGACACACCGCCCCGTTACTCAATCAGGTGGACGAACTGTCACCTATTGAGAGCATGTGTGCGTATGCACCTGTGCGTCAATTCAATAGTTCAGTAATGTATAATGGGATAAAAGCATGACTATACAAGGCCCACAGGATGGATATGCTGGCTAGTCGAACAACCTCCTTGTGGTGCCAGCTGGGTGGTTCGGGCGTAACCCGTTCCAGCAGATAGTTCGGCGGCAGTGTTCCAGGACGTGGTAGGCTTTCGTCTAGCAAGCGTTCTCCCTATTAAAAGCCACAAATGTCCGTTTATCTTCACTGTGACATGGCGAACGTGACTTGCCACAAACTAACGTAACTGCCCCGTGGATATCTAGATAATTACATCCAATCCACGGACATCAATCGTCTATTCTTACGTCGCCGACGCTGTAGAACAATCAGAAATATAACGGAACACTTAGGAACATAAGCTACAAGGCTACACATACGCACAAGCACACGCGCATCCATGCACACATTCACTGTCATGGCAAGCATGTTGTATTTTTGTATATGTTTGTTCACATTTGATTACAATAACATGACCACGCCTGTAGGGACGTACCTGGCACTGTCGAGAATAAAAAGTTTATTTTTTTATTTAAAACCCTAATGTTCCAACGTGGAACGTGAATTATGAGCTGTTAGGCTATTGCAATTTACCAATCACTTGTATAGCGTTTATCGCTAAGACGGAAGTCTAATAGTCTGTCTAATGTTGTAATGTCTGGTGCGTTCACCACACGTGTTAGTAGTGCCTTCGAGTGGGAACAGAATTTTTAGTGCGTAAAAATACTTTCTACATTTCAAAAGGGATTGTTAAATAAATAAATAAATAAATAAATAAATATTTTATTCTCGACAAGGCGAGGCACGCCTTTACAGGCATGATCATTATGACAACAATGCGCGGTCAAGAATGTGCAAGAATACGTTATGTTTGCCGTACCAGTGTATGTTTATGTAGGGGGTATGTAATTATGTAGCTGTGTGTGTGTGTGTGCGTAACTGTGAGGTTCCTGTTTGTAACTGTGCTGCTCTAATTTTCACTCTCATATCGTCGGAAATGCTCGAGTAGAAGATGGATGTCCGTGCGTTGGAAAGGATTATTCGGATATCCACGGGGCAGTGACTTTATTTTGTGGCGAGTCACGACCGCCACGTCACAGTGTTGTTAAGCAGACATTTGTGGCTTTTTATAGGGAGAACGCTTGCCAGGCGAAAACCCACCACGTCCTGGAACACTGCCGCCGAACTATTTGCTGGAACGGGTCAAACCCGAATCACCCAGCTGGCACCACGAGGAGGTTGTTCGGCTAGCCAGGTGCTGTCTCGGCATTGTTTGTAAGAGGCCATGGTCAGCAGTGATGTTTATGGGTGCTCGCGCTCAGTTACTATCCGATATGTGAGAATGAGTTCCCCGCGATTCCGTCGGTATTCTGAGGAGAACACCCCTACTAAAGAAAGACGAAGTTCGTAACTGAGACCGGATAATCCTTGCGTTGCCTTTGTGTCTCTTATTTGGGGCTTCTCCGAAAGCGAAGTGCTCATTTTAACCATGGACACCAGGCCTGAATTGCATATTTAACGTGAGGGCGAATATACCTTAATCAGCAATAGTGCTAGCCGCCGCTCAAACATGTCGAGAGTCCGCCACAAAAGCCCTTAGTTCAAGTTCGCCACACTTGCTGCTTTCGAACATTGGAGCGAATGGCCATGACTTACTTGCACGCTAATGCCTAGGTCGCGTTTATTTGTCACGTGTTACAGAACGTGCTGCCCCAAAAGATGTGTTGATTAAGCTGCTATGCAGTGTCAGTAGGTGGCGCTTTGCTGGGTTCCGTGAGAGCCGGTTCCTTTCTACCCATACATTAATCCGAACAAGATGGTCCCGAAGATAGACATGGTCGGATATTGAGGGAGTTGCTTTCCAGCTTTTAGCAGAGTCTGCAAATATTTGAATTGGGGATATAATATCAGTTGGAAGCTCATTGATGTAGACTAAAAACAGTAGGGGGCCGAGGACGGATCCTTGGGGTACACTACTGGAGACGCACATGCTTTCGGAGTGAGTGTCGGCTACTCTTATCTTGTAAGTGTAAATAAATGTAAGTAGTCTTCCAACCAGGTAAGCAGGGGACCGCTGATACCGTAGGTAGCAAGCTTGTGGAGGAGAACCAAGCGATTGTCCCTGTCGAATGCTTTAAAAATAATTTAAATAGAGTACATATATGGGGATACTTCATCAACCGCCCTGGTCCATGAGTCCTGACTAAACAGCAAACTCGTGAAGCAAGATCGTCTATATCTGAAACCATGTTGGACATTAGAAATTATTTGTTGACTTTCAAACTATCGCGTCGTTTCATCTGCGATTACCGATTCCACCACTTTAGAGAAAACAGGAAGGAGAGTAATAGGTCGGTAATTGGCAGGATCCGATCGCTTGCCTCCTTTGTATATTGGAGGGCTAATTCCACGTTTCCACTCAGATGGGAGTGTATGGGAATTAAGCAGACACAGGAAAAAGATTACGAGTGAAGCTGGTATGGTGGAACAAAGGGAGTTCAGTACTTTTGGGAAGGTCATGTCGATTCCAGGGACAGTGTACCGCCGGAGAGACTGTAATTTGCTTGCAACAGCTGCTAGAGTAAAGCTGACTCTGAATAAGTCAACGACATTTGTTGGGAGTTTATAGGGTGAACGTTCCATGGTATTTGTGGCTACCGAGACAAACTGCAGGAGTGGAGGGTTCGTGATCTCCACAACAGTAGCTGTTAGGCCATTTGTCGTGTTGTGTGGTGGTATTCCGAATTTAGTCATTCTTTTGCAATATACATAACTGTAAGTGGTCTAGTTTTACTCGTGAACTTCATTACTATGGTCTCCCGCCATTCGTACTTTCCGACTCTAATGAGCTACCAGCAGTAGTTTCTGACTGCTTCAGGTCTAAGTGTTGGTCCGTCACAATGCTCGTAATGGCACAACTTTTAATGCTAATTGTATGACTCAGTTAATGTTATCTTTCATGTCAATCCATGCGTCTTTCGCTGAACCATGC